CTGAACCTCTGCTGGGACAACATCACATCTTGCAAGATGAGATCTTCCCCAGGAAGGGAGGAGGAAGGCCTGGCAAGTCGCAGCTTACAGTGCAGGTACAGCCAAAGCAAGAAGGTCCAGGAGATGAAAACCTCTGTATCCATCAGTCATGTTCTGCTCTCCCTCTCAGTCCACCTGGGTCAGAGCAAAAAACTCCCATGTTCTTGGCAAGCAGATCCCAGAGACTCAGCAAGGCAAGACTGGAGGAAAGAACTTTAAAAAACCCCAAACTCCACACACTTACTATTTCCTTGGAAATATCAGGCTGATCAGAAGACCTGAGACTTCTGCTTCCCTGTTTTAGGCAGAGGTTTCACCACATCACTCCTGCACTGTGAATGTTAAAGGGGAGCTTTCCCCACTCCTATCTGAAAAGAATTCCCAAGAGAAATTTTTCTCGAATTGTTTTGCTCAATTAGAAGGAAAACAGATCTACATTTTCAACACTATGAATAAAAATCACTACTCTCAGCTAACATTTCACTCCCTGCTTCTGCTTTGATAAACCTAGCAGCTGGCCACAGAGTCTTCCAAGGTAAACACAGCCTTAATTTTTACTGTACAAGGCCAAAAACATTTCCATCTTTCCTGTTATGTGCTGCAGAGAAATAAAATGAGACACTGCTGCTGTTTCACTTTCCTCTGCAGGGCATCCTTTCTTGAAACAAAGCTCACAGAAGTACCTTCAAGGCTCAAAGAGCTCAGTCCTCCAGAGGGAATGGCTTTCAACCTTCCTTCAGCTTGACAGGTTAGGTAAGGATAGCTTCACTATCACTTTACTCCTTCCCTGAGTCAATTTGCTGTAAATGGCAACTGGCATTTATCCCAGAAATGGTGGCAATTCTTAAGCACTGCATGTTTAGGGTGTATTAAACAGTCCCTTAGCTTGGGCAGGTGGTACAGAAATATAAAATACAATAGGCAGCCATGAGAGTTAGAAGCAATACTGACCTAAAGCCTGGACTTCCACCTCAAACAGATTCTGAGGAGCTAAGTTCCCACTGCAACATGTGGGAGTGGAGATCAAGCAGAGCTCAGAAGCAGTTACATCAAAGATTTGGTTTTGTTCTGTCCTTCTTAAACAGAACCTGCCTTCCCTGAACCCCTCAGCTCTCACTGCAGCCAAACCTTTGCCATGGATATTTTAAAGCAAAGTATTTCAACACAGGAACTGCAGCTTCCAAACAGTGTCTGTTTTAATGAATGCCCACTAGTCTCCCAACAAGTGCTGTGTTTCTTCTGGCAAAAATGTATGTATGGTTATATGGGAATTAACCAGAACCAGTTTCTGGTTCACTTTGCAATCAGGATACATTCTGCTTGCAGTCCAAAAGCATTTGACATCAAGCTAAATTAATTCCAGAATAGACTGAAATTTAGTTGCACCAGATTAGGTATCTGGCCCCTTTTGCAGAAGCAGAATGATGCAGTTCAAGAGAGAGCAGAACAAAGTGATTGATTATAAGCACCTCAAGAATTTAGCATGTATACAACCTGTCCTGACACAGCCCTGCAATACACACAAAAATTAGCTGAAGAAATGCTGCTTACAGTCCCCCAATGCTAATTTTAAATGCAGCAGCCAGCTTTTTTATACAGAGGGCTGTTTCCCAGACTTGCCCAACCTTAACCAATTACTCTCACAACAGCATTGAACAGGATATGTAGAATGTCAGCCCAATTGTTCTGACTTGCCCCCTCTGCCATGCCCCAATTTTTGACAGGTTTGTTCCTCTATTGCTATAGTGACTGCCATCCCTAATGCTTGTGATCAAAGTCAAGTTTTAGAGGTCACCTCCAATTGAAACAAGGGACATTTTTGTATGTGCAGAGAGAGAAGGGGCTGTGTGATAGGGGAGACTCCCTCCTTTCTCTGTCTCCCTTCCATTTCATCCTGTTCCTAATCTTAGGACCTGCTTTTAATTCCCTAACTCCCTCTCCTACACTCAAGTATTCTATGCAAGTTTTCATCTTAAAGGATTCTGGGGGCTATGATCTACTGGCTGGAAATTTTTTTACAGCTTTCAGCCTGGGGTGATTCTCCCAAGGATGTAACTGGAAGGATCCTACCCTGCAAAATTCCCTCACTGAGCCTACAAAGTCATCAGCCACAGCCACTGAGGTATCATCAACACTTTCTTACACTTGGCACTTAAGCACAATTACCACCAGCCTGAATCCTTTCCTTCAAGAGCCACAATCACATCCAACAGATCATCTGACTACAGCAACATTTCTCTCATCTATCATTTTCAGTCAGCACCTTCTCTGGTGGAAGGTGCAGTGCAGAGAAAGCTCAGGCATGCTCAGGTGTTTATACTGTTGCATAAGTCAGTTCTGAAATAACATTGCAGAGAGTAAAAGGTTTGCCTGCAAGAGATACATTAATATTCCAGCATCATTATTTTACTGAGATAGCCCACTTGCCTTCTTTTAAATCAATTGTTTCTGAACAGGACAGTGTTCATACACTAGAACTTCAAAATGTCTTTACAATTTTGCAGCTACTATAGGACTAGAACTTCACTCCTGCATATTCTAAAATAAATTACAAATTGCAGTCAGTATTCCAGGGTTTGCTCCACTCAGCTAGAAAACCAATCATGCAAAGGCAAAACAGAGAATTTTCCTCTTTAAAATCACACAGAATTTGGCAAGATTGCCTCAATTAGTGGAAAAAGGAGCCAGCACCACATCAGTGCCAGAAAGAAGTTCTACCAAGCCCTGACAACACAAACCACCTACCTTGGGGTGCCCATGCAGTTCTTCACTGTTTGAGAGGGTGGCATTGAAAGGCTCTGTGTACTGACTAGGCTCCTTCTTCATCTTCCTCTCTCTCTTTGCTGCTGTAACTCGGAAGAGGCAAAACTGCTGACAAAGTAAAGTTGCCACAAATACCCAGGTGCACCCCTTCATTTTTGAAAAGGGAGGGGCCAAGGCAGGAAGGGCACTCTCCAAGCACAAAAAACCTTCACCACCAATAATAGGAATAGACACAGACTTCTCTCTAAAAAAAAATAAGATTAAAAAGGTTAGAACTATTAAAGATGATCCTCTGGGCTATGCAATGTCAAAGGAGCAGCACGCACGGATGCACTGGTTGCTGGAGAGATCTCTGTTCAAGCAGGACACATGGAAATGGTAGAGATAAACTTGTTTGAAAATCTGGATTCACTCGAAGAAAGAGGTAAGTCCATTCAGCCTCTCAAAGCTTACATAAATACAAGAGGCCCTGGAAAGTCCTGCCACCCACCTTGAAGTGTTGCTCCCCCCCCCCACAATAAGTCTTCAGACTCGTTTAAAATGCACTCAACTATGAAACCTAGAGAAGTCAAATTGCTCAGGGCAACAGTTGCTCAGGCCAGAGCTGACAACACAAACTCATTAGGGGGGTTGTCAGCTTGTTCCTCTTCAACAGGAGATTTCACTTTCTGTCATTTGAAGCATTGTGTTCAGTTCAAAGCAGGCTTGAATATGTCCCATCCATTTTCTCTGGAAGGAGAATTCCCTTTCCTCAGTGACAAGTCCTCATCCTCTCCTCTCAAGATGCTGGAGAATGGTAAACCAAGGTTGCTACAGCCACTGCTCTTCTGAAGAGGCTGAAAGCATCACAGCTCAGCCAAGTGCTCAGCCTTCTAAGGAGAAAATAAACTTCTCATATCATAAAAGTGAAAACAGAGAGAAGCAAAGAAGCTGAGGAGGTACCTAGGTCCATCAGAAGCAGATAAAGTTTTCCCAAGTCTAGCTTCTCTCCCTCTCTAGCTGGGTTTATCCTCACTTTTCTTTAATGAGATGACGAGCAGCAAGCCCCGATGCCACCAGCAGCTGTCAGGATGTAGAATCTCATGTCTTTTTCCTCCTCATCTCTCTTCACCCTAGACAAGATTTCAGGTACCCCTGAGTGTAGATCACGCCTGATTTTTCTCTCAGCTCCTTTCCTCAGCTGCACACTGGCAAAATCCTCCTCAGCTTTTGCTTTACCTCAGCAAATAAGCACTTCTTTCCTGAATGAGTTTCCATCAACTTCAAGAAAGGGGAAAGAAAAAAAAAAAAGAAAGAAGAAGAAAAAAGAAAAAAAAAAAGGAGGAGGGATCACATTCTAATGAGCTGTCAAGCCTATTCTCTTCACATTCCTATTAGACTCACTGATAAGTGGAGCTGGCCCGTGTGCCAGGCAGATTTAAATCAATGCCCGTTCCCTGCTCCCTCCCCTCAGCCCTATTCTGTACCTCCCCTTCATTATCTCAGAGAAATCACCATTTTTCTGGGAAGTTTGTAAAACTGTACAAGAGTGTGTGGTAGAGCTAAAAATATGTGGCTTGGAATATGCACTCAGCATCACACCACACATGGATACATCAGAACTCCTGCTTTTCCCTCTAGCTCTGTTCCAGACAACACTCTCCCCCAGCTCACTGGGGGCTGATTTCTTTACAGGAGGGTGGGCTTTTTTGTGAAATTTAACAGCAAACCAAAGCCTACACATCTCTTACAAACCCTTCATAAGGGAGATCTTGAAGTACTTGGGCAGTCTGCAAAGCTTTGACAGCTTTCCACCAGCCAGAATAGATATTCCCATTATTTCTACAAATAGGGAAAGTGACGCAAAAATGTGAGATTCTACCATAAAGAAGTCCAAGAATGAGGAGAAGTTGAAGATCACAAAATCTGGAGTCCCCTGTGCAGTCAGCAAGCAACAGATTTATTTTCTCTTAGCATTCCCTTTACCATGCCTCCTGTCATCCAGCACAGTCCTTCAGTGGACTTGTAAGACAGGGAGGGTGGATCAGCTCTGTCCCCTATGGCTCAGGGAACTGAGGCATGAACCATCTGAGCCCAAAATCAAGAGGAAGAATACAAATTATTTTTTTTAAAGCATCTTTTGAGAGAAATGGGGTTTGGGAAAGAGGAGAGAGTGAGAGTAAGGGAAGTTACACAGAAGCTAAATAGTTAACAGCATATCACCCCTCCCCCAACTAGCTCACATTCCATCAAAACTACGTGGCAGACTTTATTTGTTAATAATATTTAACTTTCTTTGGCGCCTTCTCATACTTAAGCCTCTTTTTTCAGGTTAGTTGTAGACAAGCCATGAATTTGTAAAAGTGCACTTGATGACACATTAATAGGACAATCTGTCATACTGCAGCTAAACAGCTTGACAGATCCACACACCATGGCAAGAAATGACACTCAAGGCTGGAATGGGGCAATTGCTGTTTTGGTCTGCTGGTGCAGGCTGCATCTGTCTGCCTGGAACATCTCCCTTCCCATCCCAGGAGCCAAGCCTGTCTCTTCAGATTTGGGGGACAAGAATCCTGACTACATTTGCAGGAACAGGGCAAAGTTACTTGATGATCCAGTAGGGCAAACTGTAGCTAACTGCCTGTGCACTGTGTATTTTTCTCTAAGTTGGGCTTATCAAGTCTCAGCAGAGTTGCTCTCTCTCCCCCAACCTCCAAGTCAGGATTATCTGTACAAAACTGCACCCTTGGCAGCTGCTCTTCTCCCATCCCAGCTGCAGCAGTTCCAGAGCACAAGTCTTGCCAATGCATGAACAACATTCAACCCTCACGTGCAACAAAATAGGAACAGGCTGGTATTGTACTTAATAGCACCACAAAACAAGGATCTCAAAGGGACTGAAAAGACAAATAGTTTCCTCTCTGAGCTCAGCACCACTGCAGCAATAATGGGAATAGTAAAGAATGGAACAGTACCAGTTCTGCATGAGTAAAGCTTTGAAGAAAGGAAGGTGTTATAAGAAGCTACATTTACACTTCACAATTGTGTGCAAGAACCCAAACACAGTGTTTGCAAACACTGCAAGAGGTGATTGTAAAGCTGGAGAGGAAACTGAGCCGTTGGGCAAGAAACTTGTGATTTCATCTCTCAATTTCTACTCATGCCACTTCCTTTTTACTCAAGCTAGGCCTCACTTAACTGTGCTAAAAATAATATCTAGAGGGCAAAAAGGTGCAAAGTTAGGGTATTCCAGAGTTGCCCATTGCAGTTATATTAATAACTCCCTGGTGCAGAGAGTGATTTTTAAGGCAATACAGAAGGCAGCACATCAGCCCTCACTGACACCCCCCCTGCCTGCTTCCCAGAAGAAGAAGCCCTAAAGTATTCCTGTGCCAGATCCCTTAGGTCTCAATCTAAGATCTCCCAATGCTAATCAAGTAGAAGCTCAAACTGTGGGTTGGGTTGATACACCAAAGGTGTTCGCACAAACGTAAAGACACCAGCAGAGAAAAAGAGCAGCTTTAGGATCACACACCAAGACCTCATGGCCGCTTCTGTTACTTTCTGCAAAGTCCCCCGACCCCAGGTTTGGGAGGATCCTTCCCTTGGGCTCTTTCCCATTCCAACCCAGCTCCCGACCCACGCGGGATCGCTGCGCCATCTCGTGGCAAAGCCTCGGAAACACCGGGACACTGGGCAAGGCAGGGACATCTGCTCTGGGGACTCACCCAGGTGGGAAAGACCGTTGCTAGGGCAAAGATTTTACTACCAAAAGGGTTCCAAGCAAACCCCAATAAATCAGCCTCCTCCTTTGCCCAGAAGCTCTCTGCAGTAACACAAGACATGAATGCTTCGAGTTCAAAAGCCTCTCTTGGATGGAGGTGATTTTTCTGCTGAAAACATGAATTTTCTGCTGTAAGCAGTTATCTGGGCAGCAAAAAAAAAGTATCATCCTGTACAGCATCTTCCCAGGACTGGGTTGCAATGTAAGTCACTAATTGCAGCAAATGATTAGCAGAAATTTTAGAGACATTCAAAATACGCCTTTTGAAGCACAGGGTTTAAGATAATAATTACAAATTATAATCTTGCTATTCTGAAGGAAATAATCACTTGCTGACTGCTTACAGATGTGAGGCAAGTTGGAGAATCCATGAGGTGGGAAAGAAGCATCTCATGTCCTTGGCTGTGTGCAGGAAAGTTTAATACTTGGCTAGATAGACTATAATACTTGGCTAGATAGACACTGTCAACAGCCCTGAGCAGTTTCAAATTCAAGAACTTGTGCAAAAGCAGTAGAAGGGTCCTTTTTTTTCCCCTTACAGAAGTTTTCTAGGGTAGGGGCAGAAAAATGCCTGTCCTCACAGCAAGAATCCTGCATGACTACATGGATCCAAACACAGCCACATGGCTCTCCTCACTGAACTAGTTCCCGACTCACATGAGCATTGAAAACCCCTGAAGCAGGACAAGTGACAAAATGAAAAGCACCAAGTCTGAACAATAGAGTGCAAAAGAACTCCAGGCATGAGAAGGGTTCTGAATAAAACACCAGCTTTATTCAGGAAAATGCACCATTTCATAAAACACATTAGGACACAGCTCAGCCCTGGCAGATGTCAGTCAAACAGAACACCTCACTTCCATTGTTACAAACTGCTGTTGGAAACAGCTGCTTTGGAGCCACACACACAACTGGAATGCCAGCCCAAAATCAAATTCTAAGTCAAAAGTGAAGACAGCCTCTGAGTAAAAGTGCTTTACACAGAACTGAAGCCATCTAGGTATGTGGATCTTAGAAGCTGCCCAGGTGTCCCAGAAGCAGCTATCCAGATGTTAAGGAAACAGCATAAAAAGTCCAACTCAAACAGCAATGCTGAGTTGGTAACAAGGTTCCAATCTACTTTTTTCTTCAGAGACATCTTCACTGTTGGCAAAAACAGTGGAACAGCATCTTGGAGTGGCCCCTATACATTTTGTAGAGCCTAAAACTGCACTGCAACTAGAGTGGTGAAGTTTGTATCATGATAGAATACCTCTCTGTAAAGGAACTGCACCATCAAACAAAACATCTAAAAGTTACTGCCTGTAGGTGTTTTCCCACAGATGTCAGGGATACCAAACTTGATGAAAAAAAGGTGAGAGATGCAGTTTTGCCACAGGTTTTGTTTTCTAGTCCATACATATCCACTTAGATTTCTCCCCAGTGATTCCTTTCCCAAGAACAGTCCCACAGAAAGGATAAAATTTTATCATGAATGTTTATTATGAACAAACAACTTTACAATGCAGTCATTTCTACTCCTCAGTACATGCTTGAAGTAACTTCAGTGACCTTGAAATCTTAGGGGGAAAAGAGTTATGACTACACACAAATCCAAGATTTTAAGAACCAAGAGAGCTTTAAAAGGCAACCACTGAGATGTCTTCTGATTCAAGCTGCCTTAACTCCCTGCCACCTATAACCACCTTACAGAAATTTATACAACTGCAGCATCAAAGTGAAGGGCCAGACATTTGTTCCACTATCAGAAGATGGTGAGGGGCAGCTTTTAGCTTTATTACATGAAGTAATGCACTGCTTCAGGGCATGGTAATATTTTTGCATGGCAAAGAATGGTTTACTCCATCTAACGGCTTTGGTAACAAAAAAGATCAGGCCCTGCATACTGATAGAAATGCTTTTAAAAATACAAACCAATCAAACCTACACAGAAGAGAATAAATCTTCTGTTACCAAAGGCAAGGAGATGTATCAACATCTTGTAAGCTACAGATGCAAGGGTTCAGTCAGCTATAGCTCCTAGCTTTCAACAGCTAGCACCTGAAATGACTGTCTAGTCTCTCTCTGAATCCAGGGTACTGAAGAGAAACTGCAATTTGAAGTTGTGGGCTTTGTGGTTGTTTTTTAATACAGTCAATCTGCAGAAAAAATGCAGCATGTCCAGGGTTTTATCAAAGTTCTTTTGTTTTCAGTTGTGGCACTTACTAAAAATGAGACCCACCTTCAGTTACTTGGGTGCAACTTAAGGCCAACTCCTTGTCACAAAGTAAAATGCCTTTTATTCAGCATCTCCAGACTGGACTAGTTCTTTTACCTTGGTGAGGTACATCTCACAAAAGATGAAAACACACCATGACCAAGGTCTCCTTGCCTTTGTCTTCATTTATGTGGACAAAAGAACTTCCATAAGATAAAGATGGGCAACCAATTATAAGCTTCTGTCTCTAGGTGATGTCAATCAAAGGCAGTGCAAAACCACAAAGTGTGAATTATACCAAGATCTCTGAGGCACAGCAGCCTCAGCTACAGGTCTAGATGCTTTAAGAAAAATAACATCAGTCTGACATGCCATTTGAAAATCCTGTCATTGCAGGAAAGACACAACATTCCCCCTTTCTTTCCAGCACACCCCCAGACCAACAGAACATAACTGCTTTGAGATGGATACAACTGGTGCTTCTCTTATTACAAGAGCTGATTAAGCACATACAAGAGGTAAATTTAAAAAGTTATAAATAAGATTTGGTAAAACAACAAAATTTAAAAAAAAATCAAATATTTATAAATAGTTTCAAATCCAGCCTTTTCCAAATTCCAACCCCACACGCCCCATCTCCTCCTTCCCTTCCTTATCTCAATAAGAACTGCTTTAAGATCTCTTTAGTAGAGAGCTGTTCTGCTAATTTTGATAATTCCTACCTATTGCAGAGAATTGGTCACATTTACTGATGCTTTAAGCTGTATGGCTCATGGGTTAACAATACACTTTTGCTTACAATTCAAGACACCAAGGAGAAGCAGTGAGAAGAAATCTGAAAAGGAAAATAAAATAGTTTCAAAAAAATTCTTAGATGCATGAGGTAATATTTATCTGGGCTCTTCACAATCCTTGTAAGAAGACTATGCAGTTAGATGCAGAGCTTGTCACCTCTGACAGTTGGTTGTACATGAACTGTGTGTTCTTCCCCAGATGAAGAGGCATCACTGTCAATAATCATGAAAGGCACAGAAGTTTGCCTCTGATGCAACAAAGCATTGGGGTAAAATTAAGCAGGGGGGTGGAACCAAGCAAACTGAGTTAAGAAAAAAGTAGTTTCAGATTTTTGAACTATCCTAGGGGTTTTAGTGTTTATCCACAGTCCTGGGATCCCATGAACAAACATCAGTATTTCCATCATCAATCATCTGAGGGGGAACAGTGATGAACTTGTACCTAAAATTAAGAAGCTTTGAGAATCTCAGATGGATTTGAAGGGTTTGGACTTGGTGGTGGCTTTTTGAAGAGTTTAAGCAAATCTTCAAGTAGGAAAGTGGAAAATTTTAAGGATTTACTTCAGCTTATGACACTTCAGATTAATTCAGTTGACTCTGATGAAGCTGGTTTATTATTCACCCATTTGTATTTTTTATCTTCACAAGGGCTAGGGTTCCTGCATTTACCAAAGACCAAGAAATCCAGGGAAGATTTTCTGAATACACAATCAACTCTCCATTGGTGTGTGCAGTTTTATTTTTTTTCCAACAGTGGCACCTTGTGATCAAAATTAAGTATTACAGCTTTCAGATAGAACATCTCCCAAACTGGAAACCCATAAGGGAACAAATCCAAACCAATACTGGATATTGCTATCCCCACTAAAGACTGATTAAATGAGTTTTCTCACTATTCATTCCTAAAGGCTTACAACTGCACTTCTTGTAGCCCAAATAAAACTTTCAACTACACTGTGACATTTTAGACAACACATGTAACACACATGGTGTTATTGTCCCACTCATCTAATCACTACTGACTAGATATGCAATGGTGTTCATTCTATTTTGAAAAAAGAAACCAGCAATCTTCTGTAGCATCAATGTTCACATTAAGCAAACCCTTGACCAAGTCCACATGTAAATCTCTAGCAATTTCATTTCAAAATCTGCACAGACTCATCCCTAATGAAAATAAAACACGATATGCATAAATTGTGAAGTTTTAAAAAGTGTTCAATGAAGTAAAAAGCCTTGTTTGCTCAAGATCTGCAAATTTCAAATCACAGATGGAAGAACTGCTATAAAAATCAAAGCACTAGAAATGTTAGCTTCTCATAATAATGCTTTGACTTGTGAGTCACTACCAGACAGTAGTGAGGACAAGAGGATCTGCGAGCAGAACATCTTCTAGTTGTCTGACTAACCAAAGCTACTCCAAACATAACCCATGAGCCAACAAACGTTTCACCTCCAACTCGCTCAAACAATTAATTCTCCCAGTGTCAGAGTCAAGATGCCCAAAGAGTCCCCACTCATTCTGCAACTACTGCTAATTTGGTCTTGGATTTATTATCCTCATTCTTGTGCTATGCTTCTCAGTACATACTTGACTGTGTAGGCAAAGGCTGCAAAACCAACTATAACAAACAAGTTCGCCAGAGCTCCGCCTAGAAGTCCATGGTTGCGGTTGGCCTGCTGGAGACCGGGGTGATTGGCAGGTGCCAGGGGTACATGCCCATTAAGGAGGGGTATTCCATTCTGCCCATAGTGTGCTTCCCCATCAGGGACAACATCTGGCAAAGGGAGGGATGGAGGTCTGTTACTGAGCTCTTCTTGTGCTTTCTGTTTTTGTTTCATCTCCTGGGGAAAGAGAAAAGAAAGCAGGCAGTGAAAGCGGTGAAGCCGTCGGGTGTTTCGCGATGTAGGAACCCCAGTTCTTACACAACTTCAGGCCAGGACATGGTGCAGTCCTTCCCATTCTAGGTCATTTAACCTAAATTAATTGCATTACAGTCTCCCCAGCTTCTTTCAAAGTGACCTACTTCAGGAGTGACACTAACCATCACTTGGCCAAGTGTATTTTCAGCTCACATGTATATTTTACGAAACTGCTTTTTTCAGCAATGAGAAATTCTTGCACATCCAGCTTGTTTTGAACACAAATGAAAATGAAGAAAGCAACCACAGAAGCTCAGAGGGATTCAGACTCTAAGTATTACATGTTAAAGATCTGCTTGGAATACAACAGCAGTGACCTATTATTGTCTTCAGTGTTTCTTGATGACTTAGGCACTGGCAAAACAGTCCCGCAGGAAGTCTCTCTGATCCTCTGGCATTCTGATAAGGAAAGGCAATTAAAACCTTCAGTTCAGATTTGCATTTGAATGAGGAAATAAAGATCTTTTTTTCCCCAGAAGGCTGTCTCAAAAGGAGACAAAAGAGGGGAGAATGGTTTTTAAACTAGAGCTTTGTGAATTCGTTTAAGAATAATAATAGATGGTTCAAACCTGAAGTTCCACGAGCACTCACCACTCTGCCCAGAAAGGACATTTCTGTGCAGGGACAATGTTCACTCTCCTACTGGGCTCCTGTGTTTATGACCTCAGGTTATCTCTAACAAAAACACACATCTCCCATGCCTCAGAAAACAGCTGAAAAAAGGCTCTGTTCTATCTTTACTCTTCTCTATATTCTTTGCAAAATCATGGAGAAGGACAATTTGGTGACATCTGTACAACCCAAAGCAGCCTATTTTGTGCCTAGAATTCCAAATTACAGTGAACATCAACATTATAGTATCATCACTCCAGAATCATTAAACAGTCCATAACAGAGAACTGTTCCCACCCACATGGAATGCAGAAAATTAACTCTCAAGGTCCCAACAGCAGGCTGAAAGAACTGAATCCCTTCTCCAGAAAGTTCCAGGGAAAG